GTTATACATTAAATTCCACTTCAACTTTCTACTTTAACATACTTCTGTTGGATTAAAAAAAAAAATGTTCTTACCTCCTCGGACAGAAATGTAGCACGGTGGATATAAGGATCATCATCACTATTAACATTAATAGCATTTTTGATACAAAAGATTACAGGTAGATGTCAAAAATCACGGTGAGATATTTTTCAATTTCTCCGATTTATCTTGGCTAGAAAAGGGACACCTTAGGATGAGTTTGGTTGAATTTTAGAACCCAGAGAACAAAAGTTTTCATCTCAGTTATTTCCAAATGAAATCATGCAAGCACCCATAGTCCCCTAAACACAAATCACATGCATCATGGGGAAAGCTGTCCTTGAATAAATGGCAGTGAAAACCTTGGTTGCTGCTGTGTATAATCATATATATATATATGTGTGTGTGTGTGTGTATGTGTACACACATATATGTGCACACACATATTGCACTGTTATATAAGGATTGTGAAAGAATTACCTTAAGGTAATGATAATCTGAATTTTAAAAAGTGAGAATATTAGCATGGAAAAAATACTTATAGATCTTTACTAGGAACTGAGAAATTCTAGAAAAAGTTCAAAGTTCATATGCATTAAACACAGACTACTTAATTATTAACTTCTGACAATATTATTTAAAATATATTATGTATTTATATTTAATATATTTATATTTTATTATATACATTTCTATAAATTATATATATTAAAATATTTGTATTTCAAAGTATTCATTCTTATCAGAAGTTTATAGACTTTCTGAAAGGATGCTAGAGATGGGACAGTTATCCTTGTGACTCAAAGCATTGACTGCAGACCGTCAGCATCACCATCAGTATCACCTGGGAACTTGCTGGAAATTGGGTGATGACCCAGACCTATTGAAGGAGAAGTTGCATTTTAACAAGTCTCAGGTAATTTGTTATGTCTTTCAAACATTTAAATTTCGGAGATCCCTAGTCAAAATTGCAAGAGTGCTAAGTTGCTTCAGTCGTGTCCAACTCTTGGTGACCCCATGGACTGTAGCCCCCCAGGCTCCACCAGTGTTCCAGGCAAGAACACTGGAGTGGGTTGCCATACCCTCCTCCAAGGCATCTTCCTTACTCAGGGATTGAATCCACGTCTCTTATGTCCCCTGCCTTGGCAGGCGGCTTCTTTACCACTAGCGCCACCCTAGTCAAAATTATCAGGATTTTCTCCGCATTGTCTGCCAGAGGACAGTGTATCTGTCTGCTAATTCAAACTATGTTTTTACTTTCTTGATGTATATAAACTAAATTTGATGATTCTAAAAGTTCTAATCAGATTTTAAGATTCCAATCAGACAGCAAAACCATCTGATAATCATCCCATTCTTCAAAAGGGACAAGAGGGCCATCTGTTCCTTTATTACACTGGGTTTTGATAAAAGTGGAAACATAAATGTTCAATACAATACCATCATAGCCACTTAATATGTATTTTAAATTTGAAATGGTAAGTCGTCCTAATAAATGATCTATATGGTATCAAGAAATAAAATCAATCACTATTTTAATAATTAATAGAGCAATTCTCTAAAAACACAAAGTTTACTAAGGCTCCAAAATACTTTTATTGGCACTGAAAGTGAAAGTTATGCCCAACTCTGCAGAATTCTCCAGGTCAGAATACTAGAGTGGGTAGCCTTTCTCTTCTCCAGGGGATCTTCCCAACTCAGGGACTGAAACCAGGTCGGCCCATATTGCAGGCAGATTCTTTACCCACTGTGCTACAGGGGAAGCCTAAGAATACTGGAGTGGGTAGCCCACCCCTCCTCCAGCAGATCTTCCCAACCCAGGGATTGAACAAGGGTTTCCTGCATTGCAGACAGATTCTTTACCAACTGAGCTGTGAGGGACATTTTCTCTTTTAAACATGTTTAAATCCTGCTTTAAATTTTGCAGGACTCCAAGATCAATCCTGCCTGCTAAGTCAGCAGAGGAATTTTCCCTTCGTGAATGCGGCTGTTCCATTTAGGTTTCTGGAAAAGGTGCTCTCCCCATCACCCCACCCCCTGCCTCCAGGTACCAGGAGGGAAGACGGCCCCCCCCCACATAAACATCCAGAAATCTTCACAACTGAAAATAAACTGTAAGAACATGTTAGTTGATTGAAAAAAAAAATCTCAGCTGAAATCAGGTATTTAAAAAACAGGAGGCAAAAGCAGCCACTTAACTAGTATTTAGAAGACCATTACATACTGATGTAAGGGTATAATAGGAGGATTTAAATAGTAAATGAAGAGGAAATCTTTGAATAATAAGAGTACCCTCATCTCTTTGCATTAAAACTTTGCACTGTGCCTCTGGGCAAGGGGTGGGATTGGGGGCGGGGGCCTTGGCCCTAACGGGGCCCTAAATGGGAAAAAAGCTCTGGGAAGAAGAGACCTAAAGAAAAACAGGCCTCTTTCACCTAGGTAGGACTACATTGATAGTCCATCCCATGTAATTTTAAAGGGGAAGCTTTACGTCTTACCTATAGAACTAAAACTTCAGTGACAGTAACATAGGTGGCTTCCCTGGTGGTTCAGACGGTACAGAATCCAGCTGCAATGCAGGAGACCCAGGTTCGATCCCTGGGTCAGGAAGATCACCTGAAGAAGGGCATGACAACCCACTCCAGTGTTCTTGCCTGGAGAATCCCCATGGACAGAGCAGCCTGGCAGGCTACAGTCCATGGGGTTGCAAAGAGACACAACTGAGCAACTAAACAATAACACATGTTGTAAATCATTTCCCTCGTATTCAGGGCAGCATCAGGGCGGCCCCGTGCAGAAGGGAGACAGGCATGGACTCTGGAAAACCTGGGTTCAGATCCCAGCTTTACCCTTGAAGCTCTGTGGCCTTGGACAAATTTCTTCGCCTCTCTGAGCCTCTATTTTCTTAACTGTAAATGTGTGTTTTTGTGAAGAGAGCAGAGCAGGTAAAGCACCCAGCATGAGGCCCTGGTGAAAAACAGTACTTATGATCATTATAATTATTCTTCGAGATACGAAAATGGCAAACACTATTTCTACAAAAACACCATTTTTTGTTTTCAAACCTCTTTATGGATATTTCCCAGCCCACGTTGAAACCAACTTACCTCAGTCACTTCTCCCATGGAGATGCGATTAACTTTCAAGTGACGAAAATCAGACTAATCACATTCAACCTGCCAACTCTGTCATGTGTTGAAGAATTTTTAAAGGCTAAGATGGGTCATCCAGTGATGTGTATTGAAAATCCTTTCCCATTTCTGCAATGTCTCCACCCCTCTCCTCTACATGGACTCAGGCAGGGTTGATCCACACCTGGGCTGCATTAGAAGGGGCCCTGGAGAGATGGTATCAGCCCTGCAGGCTGCCAGAAGGGCCTCAGAATATAAGGTTTGAATATAAGGTTTGGGACACACCAAAGAGGTTAATTTACTACAAATGATTCCCAGGGATCCACTGACTGAATGGGCTACATGGATGGGCTGTCCAGAAATTCTCCCACGGGTTGTTCAGCCACAGCTATAAACACACTGCAACTGGAGGCAAGGTTTTCTGTGTCCAAAGTATCCTCTGTGCTAACAGAAGACAGTCAAACACAGCAGTTTTACAATATATTTAAAATGATTCTTTCTGTGTCATTTCCTGGACTAAATCTTGGCTCTCTGAAAACAGGCAATATAGTTTTTATTGAATTTAAGTTGTTTTTTGGTGAAAAGAAAAGGAATTCAAATTCAACTTTTCATAAACAGCCACATGGTCATTCTGCTTGTAAACATACAGAATATAGCCGATATACATCACAATCAGATATGTATGTTATTTATTCACAAGCTTAACTGGTAAAATAGAAGACCACCTGTTTCAAATGCACTGACACCACAGACAGTGTATGAATCAGAAATACTTGGTCTACAGTATTTCATTCTATTTGGTTCAACCAAGAAAAACTATTAATACATTCTTAGATAGGAAAAGTGATGCTTTTTATATTTTGTGATAGCTTCACATCGATTCATTTTTTTCAGAGTATACTAAAATCAATTTAATCTAATTTGAACATGATACTGATTTTTTTCTTTTGTTTCCTGAACACATACTGTAGCTCAGGAAACTACTGTGTTATACCTAATCAATCCTACTTTGTACGTAAATCACAACACATTTCATATTTCATTTTAGAAGGTCATATTGAAAAACTGTATTGAAGAGTGACTCATTCATCTGGTTCTGGATTTACATGGCAACATTTGAAACTAGTGGTCTAGCTGACACAGGCAGCCATGCAGAAAGAGTTAACAACAGTCATAGAAATGCCAAAATAACTCTTGTCAACAGCAACTGCTGAAAGTAAAGAAAGAATGAATAAAAATGAGTTTATGGTTTCAGTGTTGGTAACTCACAACTGAGTTCACACGAATAAAATCAGTTCGTGTTAATAAAATCCATAACATAATCACATAGACTATTGGCTTCAGAGTGATTGTATTCTGTTAGATCATGCAGCATTAAAAAAATCTACCTTGACATTTTAAAAAAGAAGATCTGGAAAAAGTACTTTCTCCAATTTCCTCAATAATTCAGTTTTATTTTAAAGTCCAGGTAAAAACTCTGGGACCAGTTTACCTTTCATAATTTCATGGCCATGTTACACCCCTTCCTTTCCCCTGACAATATCAATCCTCCAAACAACAAAAAAGCATAAGCCCCGCCTTCAAATAAAATACTTAAAAAAAAAACCCATCCCAAACAAAACAAAATAATATTGAGCAAAGAACTCAATTGCTTTTAAAAAGGTGAAAACACTGGTGACATTATTTTCACTTCAAGCACTTAACTCATCTAAGTGAATGCTTCAAAGTGCTCCTGTGGCTCGAGAGAGACTCCAGCAGAAAGGATGGAAGGAGTGCATCTCAACGGTCTGGCCAGGCAGTGGGAGTGCTTGGTAAATTCCCGCAGGCTCCTCCTAGGTGGAGAGCCCGCTACACGTCGCTGGGTGACCGCGCTCTCTGGGACAGGCCAGGCGGGACGCAGCCGCAGCACACGAGGCAGAGGGCCTTCTGGATCTCCTGGTTTCTGAATGCATATATGACGGGGTTGATGATGGAGTTGTAGGTGGCGGGCAGGAGGGTGGCATAGGTGTAGATGGAGGGGTAGGTGTAATCGGCGATCAAGGAGTAGAGGGTGAAAGGCATCCAGCAAGCAGCGAAGGTCCCCAGGATGATGGCCAGGGTGGAGACCCCCTTCCGGGTGGTCACGTAGTGCGAGGTGGCCAGGAAGTGGTGCTGCAGGGCGATCTGATGGGCGTGCCGCATGACAATCTTACAGATCTGGATGTAGAGCTGCAGCATGAGTGCGAAGGTGAAGAGGAAGGAGACCGACAGGATGGCGGCGTTGTTCTTGGTGAGGGGCCTGACCACGCTGCAAGTGGACTCGTCCCGCAGGCAGTTCCAGCCCAGGACCGGCAGCAGGCCCAGGCAGATGGAGGTCCCCCAGAGCATGAAGAGCATGACGTAGGTAAACGTGACCGTCCTCTCTGAGTGGTAGGTCAGGGCGTAATACAAGGAGAGGTAGCGGTCAACCGTGATGGCCAGCAAGCTGCAGACGGAGGCAGAGAAAGAGGCCACGATAAGTCCAATGGTGACCAGCTTGGTGGCCTCTGACTGAAGCAGGTAGGCAAACACGAAATTGACGATGAGTCCAATGCCGGCCAGCAGGTCTGCAAGCGCCAGGCTGCCTATCAGCAGAAACATGGGTGCCCGCAGGCTGGGGTTGTGGAAGATGATAAGGACCACGATGGCATTTTCGCAGGAGATGAGGGTTCCCGAGGTACATAAGACAATGTCCCAGGGGTTAACCACCAGGTCCGGCTCCGGCTGCAGGACAGGGACCTGGGAGGAGACCTCTGCGGAGATGTTCCCGGAGGCACCGGCATCTACAAACTCCCGAGGCAGCCCGCTTACATTGACCTTCGGGTCTTCATTCATTTTAACCCCTGTCCTCTTCAACGAAAAGACAGGCTGTTTAGTGCTGAGATATGGCAGGGCGACAATCCCACATCACACAAAAACCACACCAACAGAGAACCAGCCCTACTCAGACACTGTCCCCAAATGCCACAAGCTTTCCAAATCACAACCTCGTAAGAAGTACGACAAAAGCCAAAGTCTCCGTGGCTTAAAACCCACAACAACAACAAAAATGCCGTCTTGGCGCTGGGGGACACCCGGGATGGGACTTGCACACAGGCGCGCGAGCGGGGAAGGCACACGCGGGACCGCAGCGGTCTGTTTGCTCAAGTGCTGGGGACACACATGAAAATGTGTCTCGCGTGCCACCAACTAGCGGCCGCCTGGCACCGGAGCTGCCGCGGGGCGGGGGGGGGGGGGCACCCAGCCGCGGCGACAGCTCTCCAGCCGGGCCGGGCTGCCATCCTCGCTGAAACGTTCAAAACTCCCACCCGCCAGGCGCCCGGCGCGCGCGCACACTCACACCCCAGCCAGAACAAAGGGGGTCCCGGCCGCTCCCCCCAACCCCGCCCCGCCGACCCGTGCGCACCGGGCAGTCGCCGCAGAGCCACGAAAGGGGGGTTCACGCGATGGAGGTGTGGACACGGACGGACAGACGGATGCCCAGGCACCGCGGCGGACGCGAGGGGACGCGAGGGGACCCACAGGGCGCGGGTACATCGCGGGGGTCACCTTGGCGCGCCCAGGCCGGGGGTGGGGAGCTCCTCCGCTGCTCCCGAAGCGCTACCCGGGTCGCATGTCGGCGCCGGACCCGCGGGGCGAGGGGCGGCGGCCGCGCGCGGGGCCTGGCCGGGAGGGCGGGGGCGCGCTCCGCGCCAGGTGAGCGGCGGCGGCAGGTGAGCGGCGGGCTCGGCTCGCGCGCCCGGCTCTCCCCGCCCGGCCGCTCGCTCTCCCCGCCCGCGCGCGCCGCCGCCCCCGCGCGCGCTGCCGCCGGAGCCCCTGGAGGCCGGCGCGCGCCCCACGGGTCGGGGCTGCGCTGGGCGCGCGGGCGGGGAGAGCCCCCCACCGCCGGGTGCGAGCGAGAGGAGCCGGACGCCAGGAACTGCAGCGTCACGGTGGCCGCCGCCGCCCCGCATCCCACCCGGGCTCGCATGGCGCGGGGGCCGGACAGCGCCGCCCCGGAGCCCCGTGACCCATTTCTTGCCCGAGGTCCCCCTGGGGCGTCCCGGTCTCCAGGGCCCGCTTCTCCACGCCTTTCCCTAAACTGCTACCTTCACGCTCAAAAGAACTGCCTAGGGTGGTACTCAGGATGGTCAGGTGGGATGGGGCGGGGGTGAGCAGGTTTAGGGAAGCAGTCTTTGATCCAGCCAGCTGTTTTCGGAATTGCCGTTGACCACACTGCAGTCTTGATCTCCAAGGGACCCCCCCTTCCTTAGATGAGTCCTGGACCTAGCCTGCTTTTTTTTTTTTTTAATCACTATTCCCTGGGAATATTTGCTTCACTGGATATAGGGTGCTGCTACGTGAATCATCATTATCATCATCAAATTGCACTTATTAAGTGTTCCCCGAGCTGTGTTTTCCAGTGGAAATCATTTACAGACTTCTTGCAGAAGCAGATGCTGGCCAAAACCCAATTCATTGATGCACTGAAGTGGCAATGTTAGTTTATCTTTTCATTTGAACACATTCAATAGTTTCTAAGATTGAGAACCTGATGGCTATCTGCTTTTATGATCCTGTCTCCTCTGGATGCAAAATTCAGAGGACCTGGGACATTCTAATTTTAAAGATGGTCTCTCTTTCAAGATGGGAGAAGGAAAAGGTATGATACTCTGGTCATTCCCCATCAGCAGTGAAGGATTTCCCAGCTACCTTTCTCCACCCTGAGGTGGAGGGAATAGTTTCTGTGTGAATAAAGGGGGTCCTGCAGGGCATAGGACCCTAGAACTAAATTCCTTCCTGCAGACGCATCCTCCTCCTGCCACCCCATCTCCCCTCTGAACTCACTGTCATTCCTCACTCCCACCCTTCAGGTTCACCCACCAGGATTCCCCCTCCTTCCCCCTCCTCCCCTCTCCTGTCAATCAGCCCCTGCCTCTGCAAGATCACCCCAGCTCTCTCTGCACCCCAGGTCTCAACTGCAAACCAGTGGTTCTGGGGTGGAGCCCAGCTTCTGCATTAGCAGTCCTCTTTCCCAGTGATCCGGATGCTGCTGGCCCACGGACCAAGAAGCAAGGTACTATAGCATTTTAAGAATAGCTTGTACCTCATGGAGAAGCACGCTGAGGGCTGGTCATGCAAATCCAGTAAGCCGTAGTCTCTGCTCACAGGCAGGTACAGTCTGGTGGTGACGGACACATAAAAAGCAGAAGTAATACCAGGCAGCAAATGTGGTAATGTAGGGATATGCATCTTCCTCTCAACTGTTAGGCAGTAAATCAAAGCGTTTTTAGAATAAGGCGAGGAAAGACAGTCATTTAAACATACAGATAGCTGTTTCAGTATGACACAGTTCAAACCACCTGCCAACATTTTAGGAGCCTCGCTTCAGCAGAGCGGTTTAGGGAGTGTGAGTGACAGCACCAGCCAGCCACTGTTCTCATCAATAACAGAGTCAGGCCCTGACCTACAGGGCTTACAGCCGTGGGATTTCACGCCCTCTTTAATGTGTTTAGGAAATAAGAAAAAAGAATGGAGGCTTGAAGGACTTCCCTGGCGGTCCAGTGGTTAAGACTCCACGCTTCCAACGCAGTGGATGTGGGTTCGGTCCCTGGGGGGGGGGGGTGGGGAACTAGGACCCAGGATGCCATGTGGTGCAGCAAAAAAAAGTAAAAGATAAAAAATTTTTAATAAATTAACAAAAAAAAGAATGAAAGATTGAGAAGAGAAAGGGTAATAGATGGATGGCAGAGATGTGCAGGTTTATGCAGTTTTGAGACCTGGAAAGCGTTAAAGGAAGAAACTGAGAAAACTCATGTGGGGCTTGGATACAGCTCAATGGTGAAACCTGGGTGCCAGGGGCCAGGGCAGCTCCTCCAATGGCCAAGGTCAGCCGTGCATTCATCATCCTGCTGTTACTCCTTCCCCTTGAAAGGCTGCTTGTAACACAAAGAAGAATTTAAACATGACTCCAGATTTCTGTGTTTATCGGTGTATTTGTCAGGACTTCTGTTGCCAGGGGGCAGACGTGCAATTCAGACCAACTTGATTTAAAATGGATGCTGCTGTCTGGCACGGCTGCGGAAAGTCCTGGAGAGACTCAGGTGGAGGAGAAGCTCCAGGAACAGGAGCTGACCTGTGTGCTGAGGCCCTTTGTCAGCCCGTCTCTGCCAGCATCGAACTGTCCTTTCCTAGACCAGCATCTCCCATGCAGCCATGGATGTGGCCTCAGGCAGCCCCGGACTGACACACTCAGACCAGAGAAATTGCCACACAGAACTCTGGGCCGGGCTTCAGTTACGCACAAGGCTATGTTCTCAGTTCGCCTCACCCCCGTTATGGGATGCTGCAGCAGACACCCTCAGTGTGTGACGTTTATTTTCTTCTCGTTCCTTATCTTCTTGGTCATTTTTTTTCCCCTATAATTTTGGCAAGAGATTGTGTAGGAGGTAAAGCATCTTGCCTCTCTTTGACTCCTTCAGCAAGTCAGAGAGATGGGAGAAGCTCAGTTTACACCCCAGATCCTGCAAGCTGTGTACACAGGATGTGACAATGTGTGGCTGGAAGTGCTCTGGCAGTGGTCTTGCTAACAGTGAAGGAGGATGACTGATTCTGTGTTTTTGTCCCTGGAAGATGCCTGCCTAACCCACGGGCATATACGGGCAGGTAATCAATGCTTACTTTGCTTGGCAGTAGTCTTGACCTGTCCTAACCCTTGATTATTGAAGACTTGCATTTCTGATTGCTTTATAGTCAACCGAGTTTACATTGATTACATAAAATCAGTGACACCCAGAAACTGGAATTTCATGGATTGGTAAGTTTCCCCACCAGCTGAAGCAACAAAAAGGAGTGACTGACCTGGGGACTTTTATTTTGTTCCACAAGTTCATTTAGGCAAGCACACTTCTAACTTCTTTCATTATTATTTCAAAAGGAAAGAGAGACAATTTTAGGCATTCAAAAAAGGGCATATCTCAAACAAAAGGGTAGTTCTTTTTTTTTTTTCCTTTTTAAGGATTGTGCTTTACATGAAATTCATCTTGTTTTATGAAAATTTACGACAGTGTTCTAACTTCTCTCATTTCCATCAGCTGGGTGGAAACTGCCAGAGCACAGATTTGGTTGGAAGATGACTCTTTTTAGAAAACAGTTACTTATTTATTTGGCTATGCTGGGTCTTCACTTCGGGCGTGGGATCTTTGATCTTCCTTGCAGCATGCAAAATCTTTTAGTTGTGGCATGTGAATTCAGTTGCAGCATGTGGGATCTAGTTCCCTCACCAGGAATCGAACCCAGGCCCCCTGCATTGGGAGTGCAGAGTCTTAGCCACTGGACCACTAAGGAAGTCCCCTGAGGATAACTCTTGAGAACCACTGATGGATGCGATGATTTTGTATCCACTCAAAGGGAGCCTAGAAGAGATTGAGTATTTTTTGTCAACTCAGAAGGGAAATGTACAGGTCAAGTTTCAGACGGTACAAATTTTCGTTTAGACACCCAGATTACCAAGCTTTGTTACTCTCCTCTCCAAGCTGACAGCCTATGCTTATGGAACACCCACTCTGTGCCGGGCTTTGAACCACGATCTCTTCACAGGAAGTAGAGAACCCTGCTGCCAGCATGCTGGAGCTTGTCTTCAGGGGAAATGGCCAACCAGCCATGAATCCTCACAGAGTGACAGTCACTCCTCTGCAGATGCACCCTGGTTTGGGGAGATTTATATTAACCAGGGGGCTTCCCCAGTGGCTGAGCGGTAAAGAATCTGCCTGCAATGGAGGACCTACAGGAGACACAGGTTCGATCCCTGGGTCAGAAGATCCCCTGGAGAAGGGCATGGCAACCCACTCCAGTATTCTTGCCTGGAGAATCCCACGGATAAAGGAGCCCGTTGGGCTACAGTCCATGGGGTTGCAAAAAATTGGACATGCCTGAAGCCATTTAGCACGCATGTACATATTAACCAGGCTGATACGTTTGAGTCAAAAGGCCAACTATCATATAATAAATACTTATAGTCTCAGAAGCCAGGTGTGAGCAGACTTCTGCACCCTGGAGCAGTAAATAACTTGCCTTTGTTCCCTATTTGTAAAACTGACGGTGTTAACAGCATCTATTTCTGCTACTGCTACTGCTAAGTCACTTCAGTCATGTCCGACTCTGTGCGACCCCTTCCCTGGGATTATCCAGGCAAGAACAGTGGAGTGGGTTGCCATTTCCTTCTCCAATGCATAAAAGTGAAAAGTAAAAGTGAAGTCGCTCAGTCATGTCTGACTCTTCATGACCCCATGGACTGCAGCCTACCAGGCTCCTCCATCCATGGGATTTTCCAGGCAAGAGTACTGGAGTGGGGTGCCATTGCCTTCTCCGGCATCTATTCCTAGGGCTGGTGTAAACTGCAGGTATGCTTATCCCAGCCTGGCAGAAAGCTACGGTCTGTCAGTGACAGCTACTGTTACTAACAGTTGTGGCCACTGTTTTCCATCATCTCCCTGATGCCCTTTGTGAATGGGGTTCCACGGGAATCCTGTTCTCGCAGCCGGATTGGCCAAGTGCCTCAGCATCCTCTTTGGGGCCATCACTCACAAACACCCAGACTGTCAGGAAATTCTGTTGACTCTCCCATCAAAATACACCCAGAATCCATAACTGCCCAAACTTGGAAGTAGCCAAGATCCCCTACCATGTGTGAATGGAAAAGTAAACTGTGGTCCATCCAGATCATGGAGTGCCATCAGTGCTGAAAAGAAGGATGCTCTTATGCTGCCCTGATGGTCTTGGTGGTGAAGAGTCCACCTGCCAATGCAGGAGACACGGGTTCGATCCCTAGCTGGGGAAGATCCCGCATGTTTCGCGGCAGCTAAGCCAGGAGCCACAACTACTGAGCCCCTGCACCTAGAACCTGCGCTCTGCAACAAGAAGAGCCCGAGCACCACACTAGAGAGCAGCCCCTGCTCGCTGGAACCAGAGAATGCCAACGAGTAGCGGCAA